TGCCCTATTTCAACACACACACACACACACAGACACACACAGACACACAGACACACACACACACACACGTGCGCGCGTTCACCAACAGATCGCGGATAAGAATTATCACACACGCCTGAGACAGCAACAACAAGAACAACGGCAACCATGGAGGTACGACAAGAAAAGGCATACTGCTGTGCAAGTTGGAGGAAAATTAGATGCGAACATTGCGTCCTTTGAGGCCACAGACTGCAACAAGTGCCGCGACACTTGTCCAACACACTTGTCCCCCCCCCTCTCTGTCACATTAAAACACACACACACACACACACACACACACACACACACACACAATAGGTGTTGCGAGAGGCCATGGCATGGTACGAAAACGCCTCAGCCGAGTTCCGGCTGGACAAGCAAGGGATCGTTTTCTTGGACAAGTACTTTTGGGTCATGGCTGGCGTGGCTGCCGCGTACTTGCCAGTGGTGTTCTCCTTGCAAGCGTTTCTGAAGAACCGGGAGCCGCTCAACCTGCGCGCGCTGCTCGTGCTGTGGAACCTGATCCTCGTCGTCTTCAACCTCTACGTGCTGGTGTACATGGGCCCTGCTGTCATCAAGTGGCTGCGCAGCGGCGACTTCCTGGAACGCATGTGCTACATCCCCGAGGACGCCGCACAGGGGCCCGTCGCCATGGCCCTCTTCGCCTTTGCGCTGAGCAAGGTGCCCGAGATGATTGACACGCTGTTCATCGTGCTGCACAAGAAGCCGCTCATCGTGCTGCACTGGTACCACCACCTGACGGTGATGCTGTACTGCTGGAACATCACGTACGCGCCGTCCGTGGGCACCGGCGGCGAAGGCGTGCTCTTCTCCGCCATGAACGCCCTCGTGCACGTGATCATGTACACCTCGTACGGGCTCAAGGCCATGCGCTTCCGCCCGCCGGGCGACATGCTCATCACCGTCATCCAGCTCACGCAGATGGTGATTGGCGCGTACATTGCCGTGTATCGCATTACCAGCTGCCGCGTCATGCGCCCGTGGAACGCGGCTGGCGGCGTCATCATGTACCTCTCGTACTTCTATCTCTTTGCTGACTTCTTTTACGCCAAGTACATGCGGAAGAGGCCAAAGAAGCCAGCTGCTGCTGCTGCTGCTGCTGCTGCTCCTGCTGTGAAGACCAATGGCGAGGCAAAGAAGACCAAGTAGACCAACAACCAGGATCGGTGTCACGGTGGTGGTGATGGTGGTGGTGGTGGTGGTGGTGGTGGTGGTGGTGGTGGTGGTGGTGGTGGTGGTGATGATGTTTAGGTTGAAGTGGTGGAGGTGAGGATGAGGGTGCGGGACCGTTATGCCGTGCTGTCTCGTGATGGTGTGATGTCATGTGGTATCACTTGGTTTGTGCAGTGATTGTTAGTGCGCGCGTGCGTGTACATGTGCTCTGCTGTGTGTGCGCCCGTGTGTACGTGTGCTCTGGTGCGTGTGCGCGCGCGTGAGAGTGGTTTTTGGTGTCTTGCTTCGTGTTGTTTTGTCGTTTCTTTACCTGCGACTAGCTGAGCCCCCTTTGTTTCCTTTTAACCCACCTGTGACGCTTGTCTTCATATGGCGTGCGACCATGTGTGCGTGTGCGTGTGCGTGTGCGTGTGCGTGTGCGTGTGCGTGTGCGTGTGATGTTCTCTCGTGTCCGTGACAGCGATACTTCGTCCCCGCGCATGCGTGTGTGCACATGTATGTGTGTGTGTGTGTTTGTTGTGTACATGTATGTGTGTTTGTGCGCGTGTTCGCGTGTCACTTTGAGCCTTCTGTGCTTTTTCTGGCTGTTGACTGCCGCTGCGACAAGCGCGCGTGACTTGTTCTCTTCGTGTTGAGGGTGTGAGGCGCGTGCTTTGCTCGGGTGATGTGGTTCCCGTCCTTTCATTCACCTCCCCCTGCCATGTTCACCTGGCGAGCCGTGGCTGGTTTCGTTGCTTGCGTTACGCACGATTGGAAAACCAACACAGCGGGAGGGGTGGTCGGGTGAGCGAGCACCACGAGCATGCGCTGCCGCTGTTTCCAGCCCCCCTCCCCGCTCTCTACCCACTCTGCGCCTTCACCCCTCTTCCCCTGTCCGCTTTTGTTGCATGTATGTCACCGAATACACGCGCACACGCGAGCAAGCACTTACAAAGCGTTTATTCGTGCACGTGATGGCATCCAAATGAGGGGAGTGTGCAAGCGAACGCATGTGCTAGGCAACGAATCGAACTGTAACAGGAGGTGTGTGCATGTGTGTGTATGTGTGTGAGCGCACAGCCGGTCCAACAGACAGACAGACAGACGCAGACACAGACGCAGACACAGACACAGACAGACAGACAGACAGACACACACACACACACACGGGCCGGCCGTTTACACGCCGCTGTGGCAGCAGCAGGCGTCACTGCTGCTGCGGGTGCATGTTGATGTTGTGCGCGCGGGAGGGCGGGATCAAAGGAGTGGTGACGCTGGACGATGGCGCGTCAACAAACGATGCGGACACGGGCACGAGGTGCTCCGGTGCCGACGACACCACCACGCCGCCGCCGCCGCCGCCATGACCAGATGCCAACACGACAACGTGCTGCTGCTGTTGTTGGTGATGATGCTGCTGTTGATGTTGTTGTTGCCCCTGTTGCTGCTGCTGCTGCTGTTGTTGGATGGGGACCGCGATGGTTGGCAGCTGTTGGTGTTGGTGCAGCAGTGAGGGCGCCACCGTATACGCGTGGGACGAGGACGTCGGCAGCCGAGTCGCATCCAGCAGCGGGTGCTGGTGCAGCTGCTGGCCCAGACGTGACTGGGCATCCTGCACACTCACCACCGCAGGTTGCTGCTGCTGCTGCTGCTGCTGTTGTTGTTGTTGTTCCTCGACGTCCTGCTGGCTTCGTTGTCGCTGTTCCTGCTCGTGTTGCTGCTGTTCGTGTTGCTGCTGCTGGCGCGTGGCTGCGTCGTCGTCATGCACGGCCACCAGGCGTGCATCGAGCGGCAGTTGGGACTGAACAGTGGCGGTGGCGGGGGCGGTGGCGGCAAGTGAAGCATCGCCGCTGCTTGCATCACTGGTGCCAGGCAGCACGCCCACCACAGACACGGGCTGCCCCGATGGCCACTGCGCCGACGAGAGGGGGTGGCCTGCGGGCGCAACCACCACATAGTGCACCTGCTGTTGCTGTTGCTGTTGCTGCTGCTGCTGTGCATGTGTCTGTGCTTGTACATGTGCTTGTTGTTGTTGCTGCTGCTGCTGCTGCTGCTGCTGCTGCTGCGATTGAGTTGCGTTTCCATTGCCACTGCTGGGCGGCGGGGGCGCAGCGCTGCTTGCAGGCACCTGCGCCAACACAAGCACATTCTGCGGGTTGCTCGTCGCCGTGCTTACAGCCAAGGATGACTGGTGGGTGTGCACGCGCAAGTGTTGCGTGTGTAGATGTGGTTGCGTTTGTCGGCGAGTGTTTGTGCGTGTGTGTGAGTGAGTGTGTTTGTGCGTGTGTATGCGTGCGTGCGTGCGTGCGCGCGCGCGTGTGTGTGTGAGTGTGAGTGTGTGTGTGTGTGTGTCGAACCCGCAACCGTGTCCATAGAAGCAAAGCGAGCACACACACGCAAATCATGAACATGACAAGCAGACAACCTTGTCACACACACACACACACACACACACACACACACACACACACACACACACACACACACACACACAAGCCGTTACGGCGGTTGATGAGGGAAAGTGTTACCCGACTTTCGTTATTAACGCCCAGTACCCGGATGACGAACGTTTTGCGTACTCTACGTGCGATCTTCAGAGGTACAGAATGCGACAGAAGCAATATCACTACAGCATGCTAGTCCATTGACGTACTCCTATCTTGGGACTTGATCCCTCAAAATTAAACCATGAAGATAGGTAGCGTAGATACTTGGGTCGATATACCAACACGGATGAGTTAGCAGAATGCAGGCAATTGTCAGTAAGACACACAAACAGACAGACAAACAGACACACACACACACACACACACACACACACACACAGACATACACAAACACATTGGGCAACCTTGTTGCGGAGTGGATGCAGGAGGCGACGCCGTGCGTTGATAAACCAGTTGTTGACTTGCGTCATAGATAGGTTGAACTTGGTTGCCATGTCTCGCTGTTGGCACACGAACGCAAGCAGTGCCATGCCAGCCGTGGTGAGCAGGAGGTAGCCACCCTCTCAACAAGCAAGAACAACAGCGTGCGTGTGCAAATTCACACCCAACGCAACACACGCACACACACACACACATGCACACACGCACGCACGCACATGCGCACTCACACGCACGCACGCACACTCACACACACACAAACACACATCAATCAAGGTACCTTCTCCACGTCTGTTGGGTAGGGGTGGTGATGGTGGTCAAACAGCCACGCCTTGAGCATGTTTGTCGTTGACTTTGGGAGGTTGCTTCGCTTTCGTCTGCGGTCCGAAGCTCCGGTGCCGTCGGTTGATTCTGCCATGGCCTGGGCATGCATTTGTGGTGGTACGTGCTTGGGCGATGTTGGAGGGTGATGTGGTTGGTGTGCCTGTAGTTGTGCAGCCGAGAGTTGTTGCGGCTGTTGCGGCTGTTGCTGCTGTTGCGGTTGCTGCTGTTGCAGGGGCTGTGGAGGGGTTGGTTGTGGGTGGTGCTGGTGCGGAAGCTGTGGTGGGTGCTGGTTGTTGTGCTGCTGCAGTTGCAGTTGTTGCTGTGGATGTTGTTGCTGTGATGACGGGTGTGGTGGTGCTTGCTGTGGTTGGCTATGAGGAGGGGTGGGACCGGACGCAGAGGTGGGCAGGGTGGAGTCGGAGTCGGATGGAGCAATTCTCACGGGGAGGGACAGTCGCACCAGGGGCGGGTCTTCCGTGTGTGTGCTTATTGTGTGTTGTTGAGGAGTGACCTTTGCCATCTTCTGTGGTGGTTGCTGGGCGTCATCTTCCATGGGTGGTGGTGGTGGCGGTTGGGCGTCGCCAGCGCTGGCAGGCTGGCCTTCGTCTGGAGGCACCGCAGCACTCATGCGCCTTGTTCCTGAGAAAGGTGGAGAGGGAGGGAGGTTAGGGGTGGTTGGTTGGTTGGCTGCTGCTGATGGTGGATTGAATTGGCTGTCGTCCCCGTCGTTGTTCAAAAGGAGCAGGGAAGGTAGTGAGGAAGAAGTGAAGGTTGTGGGAGGAAAGAGGCAAGGGAAGGAAGAGGGCGCACGAGGGCGCACGAGGAGTACTATCAACGCCTAGCACGCACGCTCCACACAACACAAGACAAGCAAGCAAGCTGCCTGTAAACCTAGGCAGCAACAACAACAACAACAACAACAACAACAACAACAACAACAACAACAACAACAACAACAACAACAAGCCACTGGTAGCGGTTGATGTGAGCCTGCCAACGTGCGTCAACTGGTGGTTGGCGGACCAACAACAACGAGACAAGTCAAGCAAAGACGTTATTGAGCGCAGAGGACAACACACGTCAAAATAGACAGGTGTGGTGGTTGTCTGCTTCTTGCTTGTTGGCTTTTTGCTTCTTGGCTTTTTTGCTTGTTGGCTTGCTGCTTTGCCTCTTGTTTCACTTTCTCGCTTTCCTCTGTTGACGCCCCACCTGCGTGTTTTCCAACAGATTGGAAAGCAATGGTGCGAATCTGTTGTACATCTTGGCAACTTTTCTTGCTTGCAAGTTGAGCTGCCCCGAAACATCACAACAGCAAAAAAAAAAACGGCTGCTTCTGCTTCGGGTGTCTTCTTGCGTGCCTGATTGCTTGCGAAGTTGGCAACAAGGGGTGTGTCGCCTTGCTTGATTGATGACGAAGCAGCCTTTTTTCGTTTGTCTGTGGTTTCTGCTTGCATACGCTGACCATTCATTTCTCCTGTCGTTGTGAGAACTCAGAAAGCAAGCGCAAGCACAGCAAAGCAAGCACCTTCTTCTCCTTCTCCCTTCCAACTCATCAAGCAACGCGCAGCAAAGCAACAAGCCAAGATGGCTTCCTACCGCCCTTCCAAGTCGGGCTCCGACTTGTGCCTGCACAGTACGTCTGTGATGAGGAGAGGGGAGATGTTGATGGGAGGAGAGGGAGTGGAAGAGGGGGAGCGAGAGAGGTTGCTGTGCTGTTTGTTGGTGGTGATGATGGGTGTCACGCATGGCAACAGCCAAACAAACAAGCAAACAAGCATATGCGCTCACATGCACACAAGCTACAAGGATACACATACACAAAGGAACACGCAAGGGTACATGATGCATCCACAACACTCCTCGTAACCCCAATGTTAACCCCATCTTGCCCACGTTCTCCTCTCTCGTCTGGCATGTTGCAGTCGTGTACTCGTTCTTCCTTCTCCTCACCGCCGTGCTCGGAACCGTGGCCATCGCCTCTCCCTTCTGGCTCACCACCCCCTCTGGACTGACGGGCACCTCCCAGGCCATTGGCATCGTCTCCTGTGCGTGCTGGAGCCCCTTGTTCTCACACGCTGGGTTCTTTGTGCTGAGCTTGTTTGCTGGGCGTGCGAACGTCGAGTGCCTGGCTTTTCCCCGCTTTGTTTTGTGATGAGCAAACGTATTGTGTGAGTTGTCGTGAGCTGGCGTGATGTGTGAGCTGGCGTGATGAACACTCTGTTTGCCCAGCTTCTTCACATCTCACCTACCGTGTCCCTCGCACCTTCATCGTGCCGGCCCCGCCGCTTTCTATCACCCGGCACACAGTCTGCTCCGACAAGAACGACCTGGATACCTGCGAGCGCTATGGCGACTCTCCCAAGGATATCCCCATTGAGTACTGGTACGTGCTCGTTCACATCTGACAAGTCTTTGTGCGTTTGGTGGTCGTGGCAAACAAAGCGGAGGGAAGAAGAAACATCTTTCCTCCTCCACTTCTGTGTGGCGTCTTTTTTCACTTGCAAGCGTTTGGGTCAATGGGTAAGAGGAGTGGATGTGGTCACTTTTGGTGTCTTTCTTACATTTCTCAGCATCTTCTTGCTTTCTCGGTCTCACGCATTCACTCACTTCCACATCCCTCACGCACTAACTTTCACACGTCCACAACCATGCCACTCCACTCAATCGCTTCTTTGTGACAGGCGCGGCACTGCTGGTCTCTTCGTCTTTGCCATGATGGTCACATGGCTCTGCTTCATCTTCTCCCTCTTCACATGCTGCGCCTGCCAGGGCCTCACTGTACGTACACAACATGGCTGCCGTGATGTGATGCTGTCCCGTACGCTATTCCATGTTGTGGGGTGCGTGCATGTGCATGTGCGCCTGTCTTGGTGCAATCCTCCCGCCGCATTGTCACGACTGACACCACCTCTTCCTTCCAAACGTGTCTGTGTCTGTGATGACGTCCTTCACCACAACAGCGCCCACAAATCGGTCTCCTCTTCCTCTCCGGTGAGTGAGCAGTAGAATTTTGTGGACTCTGCAGCCGGGTGTACATGCGTACAGTGAAGGGATGTGTTTGCTCATTTCATCCCAAACGCACCCCCTACAGTAGTTGTTCCTCACGTGCATCGATGAATGTGATGGGGTCTTCACCGTGTCGTTTGCTGACGCTTTTGCTGGCTTCCTCTGCGCTCTGTCTTTGTTGGTGTTGTGCGCAGCTATCTGCGTGGTGATTGCCCTGTTCCTCTTTGGCGCCGGTCTCAAGGACGCCGGCTTCTGCGGCAGCACCAAGCGCTTTGACCGCGGCGACTGCGACCTCGGTTACTCTGGCGGCCTCGGTGCGTGCGTGATTGTATGTGTGATTGTGTGTGTGTGTGTGTGTGTGTGTGCGTGTGTGATTGTGTGTGCGTGCGTGCGCGTGTGTGATTGTGTGTGCGTGCGTGCGCGTGTTTGGTGGGTGTATGCGCTGGGAAGCGCCTCTTTTCCCCTTTTGCACCAAAGTGAGCATCACATCATAACGCACCATGCCATCGCTTCTTCCTTTCATCATCATCATCATCATCATCATCATCATCATCGTGTCAACTGCGCTGCTCCCACTTCACACGTGTACACATGTGCATACACTGTCGACGTCGTTCGTCATCCACAGGTGTGGCCACGTTTGTGTTCCTGATCATCTCGGCCACCATCTCCATCTTTGTCAAGCCTGCCGAGGACCAGATTGCCTAAAGTGGCCGCTGCATGATGGCAGAGTGCCCACTCAACACCCGGCAGCGGCAGCACTTTCACACCACCGCCACCAGCATCGCTTTCTTCCCGCATATGTGTGTGTGTGTGTATGTGCGCCTTGGGTGCTGTTGTTGTTGCGGCGTGTGCGATGGTTCTTTCCTCTGCCTCTTGCCCCTTGTGAAGTTTGCGCGCTGTTGAGCGTTTGCCAAACAGCTGCCGCTGCCTCACGTTCCTTCCATTGTTTTTGTGTTGTGATGTCGCATGCGCTGTGTGCTGCTTGATGTCATCTCGTGTTGTGCCGGCTGTTTTTGTTGCTCCTACCGACGGCTCAAAACAGGGAATTGGTTTTGTCTGCTTGCTGACGCAAACGGGTCGTTCTCCTCTGTCTGAAGGTGCTGATGTACTGGCTGTCCAAACCACGTGTGGTGTCCAAACCTCCACAATGAACAATTACACATTCACACCGAGTACGAATAACAAACAATTGGTCACAACAGCAGGGGATGCAAGCAAATTAAAGGTGCTCTGTGTGTGTATGTGTGTGTGTGTGTATGTGTGTGTGTGTATGTGTGTGTGTGCATGTGTGCGCGTGCGTGCGTGTGTGTGTGTGTGTGCGTGCGTGCGTGCGTGCGTGTGCGTGTGCGTGTGTGTTCACGTGTGTGTTCACGTGTGTGCCACGGCTGGGGGCGGGTAGAGGATGTCGTAGTGGCCGGGCCGGTAGAGGAGGAAGACGAGCGGCTCCTGCCCGTCCGGGATGACGTGCTGCGCCGCTGTCTCCCCAGCAGACTGCACCCGCAACCAGGGCATCATGGGAGGTGTGTGTGCGTGTGTATATGTTGGGGGGGGGGGGTTAGAGGTGAGGGTGGAGATGAGTGCGATAGAGGTAGGGATGCGGGCGGTGATGCGGGTGGAGGGGGGGGGGAGAAAGGGGTTGCACTGATAGCGATGGCAATGGTTGAGGGAAGCCTAAAAATAAAGCGCTCACACACAGACAGACAGGCAGGCACAGACACACGCACCCTGTCGAGGTAGGCAATGTTGACGGCAACGCCGAGTGCCTGTGTGAGGGCGATGATCTGCAGGTGTTCGCAGTCGACCCCAAACGGGTCCACGGCCCGCGCACAAAACGCCGCCACCGTCTCGCCGCCCTCAAGAAACGGCAGAAAGTCGTCCACGTGCGTCTGCAATGCGAGCGAGTGTTTGTGTGTATGTTTGTGTGTGTATGTTTGTGTGTGTATGTTTGTGTGTATGTTTGTGTGTGTATGTGTGTGCGTGTGTGTGGGTATGTGTGTGTGTGAAAATATGCGTGCGTGCAAGTGAAGTTCGAAACACGCATGCGCATCATCGACGAAATGCCGCTGCTCAAGGCAAGCGGGAGCGCACAAACCTTCATGTGAGCGGCTGTGACGAGGCGAAAGTAGGCGACAATGTAGTTGGAGAGCCCGTCGTCATTGAATGTCGCATGCAACGCCTCCTATACGTATGCGAACACACACGCACACATGGAATGTGGCAGAACATGTGATGAGTGAAGGTGTTGGTGGTGGTGGTCGTCGTCATCATCAATGTCAGGGTGATAGTCTTGCAGCTTGCATACTCCTCATCCCCAATTCCATCATCATCACCACCACATCGCCCACCGCCCACTGCCACCGTCAACAGCGCACCATGGGCTCGTCCTTCAGGCGGGCAAACTGTTCCTGCACCGTCTCGTAAAAGTCTTCTGCGGTAAACTCTGGATACCCCGCTGCAAGCGCCATGTCAAACGTCTGCTTCAGCGTCTCCAGGAACCTGTGTCCAGGGCCCAGGGGGTATGACGGGGGCACGTATGTGAGGGGGTGCGGGCGCTGCAGTTGATTGGAAACAAGCACGGCAGCGGCAGTGCCCGTAGCACGAAGCAGAAGGTGTTGTCACATCATGCAACGGTTGTTTGTAATACAGCGGTAGTGATGTGAAGCATCAGGGCGTGAGAACGACAGGGCAAACTGCACGAAGAACAAGGCACGCTCACCCCGGCAGCTTGTCTTTGTGTGCAGCGAAGTGTTCTGCGATGCCATACGCGTATGCGCGATAGAAGCAGTTGCTGAACACAAGCCACACAGAGTCACAAAAAAGGGTTGCACATGAGCGACAGCAGCAGCCAGCCAGGGCATGCAAGATGACAGGCAGCGGATATGAAAGAGTTCAGATTGCCCCGCGGTCATGCCAGATAAAGCTCAAGACAGGAGCAAAGCTTCGACACACCCGTCACCGCGAGTCTTGCGCATCTTGGGAAACGCATCCAACATGCTCTTCATGCAAGAAAGCAGACAAAGGTGTGTTGTTGTGTCGAATACGACGTGCGTTCAGACCGGGCGGGAACGCACGAGGAAAAGAAGGCACAGGGGAAGGCGTCGATGGTGAGGCAACACACATCAAAAGAGAGAGACCAATAGAGAGAAGGAAGAGATACACAGGCAGATAGATGCACACATGGACAGAGAGGCAAACAAACACACGTACAGACAGAGAGACAGACACACACACACAGACACAGACAGACACAGACACAGACACAGACACAGACACACCTTGATTTTGGTGGTGAAGAGTGGATCCCCGTATTCGGCGAGGAGTGTCGACGTGTCCATCACATCAGACATAAGCGGCGCGGACTCTGCCACCTCCTTCTTGATGGCATCCATTTGTGCCATGATTTCTTGGTCACGGTTGACCTCGTCCTTGCCCTCACTCATGGTTGCGTCAAAGTTGAAAGCCTATGGAACCAAAGGGAGCGGTAGCAGACGCCAGTAATGGCAATGAGAGAATTAGAGGTGAGAGAGGTGTTTGGATGGTGGACAAGCAAAGAAGAAGAACTGGTTGGTTGGTTGGTCTGTGTCAGCGCCGATTTTTGATGGATGTTTTCTACCAATCGCCAAGACTTGCCACAAGAAGCTGCACACTCCTCCAATCCCATCATCACCATCAGCCATCCCTTTCAGCAGCATTTGCATCGCTTCCCTCGCTCGTCGGTTGACGCGTTTGCTTTCTTTTCTCAAGCCACCTTGTTAACGCACAACAGCTGCCATGCCTGCCGGGGGCGGAGGCGAGGTCATCACGCTGCAGTTTGGCAACTATGCCAACCACGTTGGTGCACATTTCTGGAACTTGCAGGATGCCATGATCGATTACACGGGCCAAGAGCCAGAATCGGAGGTGCGTGCGTGTGAGAAGGATGTGTGCAAACGTGTGTGCGTGTGTGCAGAGTATGCATATTATGCGTGTCTGTGTGTCTGTGTGTCTGTGTGTCTGTGTGTCTGTGTGCAGAGTGTGTGCGTGTGTTGATGTGTGTGCGTGTGTGAGAACTGGACTGGTAGCACCATCAAATTTGTGGTACGACAACAGCGCGACACAACACCATTCCTCGTTGCTGCGCTCGCACAGCAGCTTGCTCGGTTGGTTCACAACACTTGCGTTGTTTTTGAACCTCATTCCAACCGCGCTGCTTGTGGCTGAAGGACCCCATCAGCCACGATGTGCTCTTTCGGTGCGGCGAGACACCATCTGGAGCGCCGACATACACACCGCGGCTGCTCTTGTATGATCTGCGAGACAGCACCAGCGCATTGAGCCAGGTTCGGAGCCCGGGGTGCTGTGTTGCGTGCCCTAGCATGGCTGTATGTACTCTCGCGTGAGTTTCAGTATGTGTGTGTGTGTGTGCGTGTGTGCATGTGTGTGTGCGTGTGTGCATGTGTGTGTGTGTGTGTGCATGTGTGTGTGTGTGCGTGTGTGTGTGTGTGTTCGAATGTGCATGAAGCTCATTGGCACATGCTTCATATGCAGGAGGGCGTTTTGTACGGTGACGCTTCCCAGCAGGCTCAAGTCGCGTCGTGGGACGTAAGGACTCTTGTTTGTTTGCTGTCTCGACTGAACACGCTGAAGTCTGTCGCTTGCGCCATCTCACTTTGGTCATGGGATCGCTGCCCACGCGCAACACTTGTGGCATGTCTCACATGGCACGTCTGTCTGCGTACCTTCTCGCACCTCCATTCCACAACGCCTTGCAGCCGGAGCGCGTGGAACGCCTGATGCAGCCGCTCGATGAACCGAGTCCATACCACCAACACCTGGAGCAACTGCAAACACAACAGGTGCTGCATCATTGTGTGTGTGTGTGGGGGGGGGGGCTATCGAGCGTTGTGGTTGCGTTGTCGCCGCTGTCGCGTTGTTGTGGACGTGTTCATGCTTGTGTACTACGCTCACTGCCACCACTACCACCATCACTAACACCCGCCACTAACACCCACAGGCGGGGGATCGAGGGCACTCCAAGTCTGAGTTTGTGGTTGAGACGGAGCACGTGCGGTCATGGTCAGATTACCTCCGCCCACTCCTCCACCCCCGCACCGTCAACGTATGCCACGTGGTGTTTGTATGTGTGTGTGTGTGTGTGTGTGTGTGTGTGTGTGTGTGTGTGTGTGTGTGTGTGTGTGTGTGTGTGTGTGTGTGTGTTGGTATCTGTAGGCGAGCGACGTATGCGATTGTGCGTTTGGATGTGGCTCCTTGGCAATGCGCGCTCGTGCGCGCGTGAGTTGTTGTTTGCGGCCACAGCCTCATGCCAGCGTGTGCTGCCGTGTGGGCTACATGTGCAGTTGGTGCCAACGCACTGCCACGAGGACCCCGCCGTCGCCTTTGATGCGTTTTGGCTCGCGCGACCGCTGCTGCAGCCGACAGCACAATTTATGGAGACGTTTGAGGACCGTGTGCGTGCGTATATGGAAGAGTGCGACACGCCGTATGGATTCCAAATTGTCGCAGACGCAGACACCGCGTTTGCCGGCATTGCTGCCGGTGCGTGTCAGCTGATCACACTCGTGGTGTGGTGTGTTTGTTTCGGGTGAAGTGAGAGTGTGACTCACTGAGTGGCTGAAACACACACATATGCTCATGCGCTCTCAGCAATCCACTCATCCGCGCGCGCACACACACACACACACACACACACACACACATCTTCTCCATGTTCCGCACGGCAGGCGCAATACAACACCTACGTGACGAGTACGGGCGCAAAGGGATCATGTGCTATGCGGCGCACTCGCCCGGGCATTCGCTCGGGTACGACGCCGCCACCGCGCACCCGGAGCTGGACGAGGAGCACCAGGCAGCAAAGACGGCAGCACACGCCCAGCACAGGCTGCGGTCCGCAGCATACCTCATGGTGTGCTCGTGATGGGTGGTGGTCATGATGGAAGAGATGATTGCCTTTGGAATGTGTATGTGTGTGTGTGTGAGTGAGAGTGAGAGAGAGAGAGAGAGTGTGTGTGTGTGTGTGAGGGAGAGGGCGCGCGCGCGCGCGTGTGTGTGTGATCGATGAGCAAGGAGTGACGATATCACAGCCTTTGTGACATTGCACGCCCCTAAATATGCGCTTGATACATGTGTGTGTGTATGTGTGTGTATGTGTGTGTGTCCAGTATGAGTGTATGCAGTACGGCGCGACATACATTCCGCTCAGCACACACGACGCGTGGCGAGGTATGGCTTTCGGAGCCGTCTGTGCTGCCGCGGATGCGGAAGATGCTTGCTCCATGTCTGTCATGGAACACTCCGTGTTGTGTCGGTGATCATACTCACCGTCATCACCACCACTCCCATCAACATCGGCCATTGCTGGACAGATGGGTCCCCTCGCGCGTTTCTGCGCCTTGACGTCGACTACAGCAGCCGCTACCACACCAGCGCCATCATGGCCGCTGCCATCGACACAGCCACCCTCCCCTACAGGTCTGGCCAGTCGCGTGTGTACCTGTATCTGTATGTGTATGTGTGGTGCTGACTGTTTGCCATGTGTTGTGTATTCTTGCCACCACTGCCACGACAACTTCAGAACTCGTTGCCTGTGCTCTGCAACGTTCACCCGTCGCTCGTCCTCGTTCTGCTCCTCAGACTGCACTCCAGCGACGTGTCGTTCGCCCATCTCATGTCCGCCCTCCAGGGGCCCGCATCCATGGCCGGTGGGTGTTTGTAGTTGGAGTGCGTGCATGTGTTGTTGTTGTTGTTGTTGTTGTTGTTGTTGTTGTTGTTGTTGTTGTTGTTGTTGTTGTTGTTGTTGTTGTTGTTGTTGTTGTTGTTATTGTTGTTGTTGTTGTTATTGTTGTTGTTGTTGTTATTGTTGTTGTTGTTGTTGTTGTTGTTGTTGTTGTTGTTTGTTGTTGTTTGATGTTTGTTGTTGTTGTTGTTGTGTTGTTGTTGCACACCAGACTGTGGATCACGCACTGCACCAAGTTTAGGCGAAGGAAGGGAACCTGAATAGCAGGCAGTCCTCTCAGCCCATAGATTTCCTTGTCTCTCTTCCCAAGAACACGCTACCTCGACTCGCCTTCCACGTTAAGGGGGTCAAGTTTGTCAGGTCGATACCTCCCTATACGTAAGATCCAGAATGGCGCCTTCCCCTGAAACATAAGGGAAGCCGTATGGTGCTCGCGCGAAATACCCGTGGACCGACAAATAGGTCGCACATGCGTCGTTAACATCACATCAACTCACAAGTATTTTGCGCTCTACAATTGTCTACAAGCTGTATACAACCCTTGTCACTGTTTGTGGATCGGGGTTTGTGCGTCCGCGCAGATATGGCGAGTTGGAACAAGAAATTACTCAGAACGACGGCTAGGCTTGAACAAACTGAAAAACTTTCATGGAGTGGGGATTCGACCGCTTGACGGGTGCGTGCTATGTTGAGTCCTCGGTGACGGTACTGATGCCAATGATGTTGTTGTTGTTGTTGTTGTTGGTGGTGGTGGTGTTGTTGGTGTTGTTGTTGTTTGTTGTGCGTGTGTTGTGTTGGAGAGAGTGTGTGTGCGTGTGTGTGTGCGCGCGCGTGTGTGTGTGCGTGTACCTT